GTGTGTTGTTTGTTGTCTCTGATTACTGTGGGGGGGGGGGGTGGAGAGAAAAGATTAATATAAAAAGATGAATACTGATTGATCAAAACTGCATCTGAAGAGGAGCGGTTTTGTTCAGAATCAGAAAAGTCCTCATTTTCATCTCGAGCATAATAAAGCATCTGAAATAAAAGCGCCTAAAAAAAAATTAAATCCAATGCTTATGAACAGGAGGGAAAGCTTTTTTATTATACCTCTATCTTAGCTGGTACGCCTCGCTTTGCCTTTTCAGGCCGGAGACCTTTGAATCTCCCAACAAAACCAGCCACTATTGATCCACTTTACACATTTGAGTTGATAAATCTAATCCCAGCAATCACTGGCTGAAAGGGGGGTGCTTAGTTAAGCCTAAAGCTCCTTTTCACAGCCCCAGGTTTATGAGTGCCCACCAGAAGGGCAGGGAGGGGGCAATGGGAAGCTGGCCCTGCTCTGCTCAGTGCTGTGCATCCCCCTTCTTTCAGCAGCTGCCTCCACCGTGGTCCCCATCCCTGGCACCTTCTCCTGGCCGCTGGCCGCCCGCGGTAAACCCCGCCGGGGCATGCTACGTCGTGCTGTCTTCTCCGACGTGCAGCGCAAGGCACTGGAGAAGATGTTCCAGAAGCAGAAGTACATCAGCAAACCCGACAGGAAGAAGCTGGCAGCCAAGCTGGGCCTCAAGGACTCACAGGTAAGGGGGGCTCTAAGTGGGGAGCTGGATTCCCCACCCCAGGGATCAGCCTGGGAGAAGGGATTGGGAGCAGGGAGAACTGTCCATGACCAGGAGAAAGCCCAAAGCAAGTTACAGAGCCATGAGCATCAACAGAGCCAAAAAACCTGCAAGGTTCCCAGCTGGCTGACTAGGACAGGACAGACCACACCACAATACTGTTACTCACCCTGACCAATCTCCTAGGGTTAGGATCTGTCATTCCTGTTAGCTTCAGTATGGGCATGAGCAGAGTATTGAGGGGGCAACCAAAGACCTTTTCTGGATCCTGTTTCTCTGAACTGTTTCATTTCTGTGTCACTTCACCCCCCAGGTGAAGATCTGGTTCCAGAACAGGAGGATGAAGTGGAGGAACTCCAAAGAAAGAGAGCTCCTCTCTTCTGGTGGCTGCAGAGAACAGACCCTTCCTACCAAGTTCAACCCTCACCCAGACCTCAGTGACGTAGGCAAGAAATGTTCAGGAGAGGAGGAAGAGGAGGAAGAAGTTCCCCCTGTGTGCCCACCCAGCCCCCAGCATCCCTTAAGCTACCACCAGTCCCCAGAACATTTACACTTGAGGGACAGACTGGACTCCCAGATGTCTCCTTCTCCATCCCATTCTAGCAGCCCCAGCAAACCTTCAGACTTCTCAGACTCAGAGGAGGAGGATGATGAAGGGGAAGAGGAAGAAGAGGAGATAACAGTCTCTTAAATCACCTGCTTGCCCCTCACCATCACATGGGGACATTGCAAAGATTTAAATAAAACGAAGTGCTATAAATTGAAGAGGTGATGTCCCACCCAAACGTCCACATGCTTCACCAGTGCAGGTTCTTTATCACATAGCTGCAAGACTGCCTACTCATGGGTATTCCTTAGTCTTTGCCCCATGTGGAGGTTATCATATTCACAGCATCTGCTACCATTTTCATAACTCTCTCTGCGTAACAATCAACATACGCTCGATGCTCTTCTCCCAAAACCAGGCAACAGAAGCTCCTTGCTTCATGGCAGGGAGGAAAGTGTAGCCTGTTAAGAGGGAAACTCCCTGCCCTCCCCAGATAAGAAACAACAAAAAACCATAATATAGATGCTGTGGCCATTTTTGCTGCCTCGCAAGTGAATTTCCAACTACTGTTAAGATTTCAACCCCCCAAAGACTGGTCTGATGTAGCAACCCTCTCCTCAAAGTAAACACTGGGGGACACAAACCAAACACTGCTTCCCTCCTAACCCCAATATACTTGTGCAACAGACATTAAAACCCCTGGAATAACTTCTAAGGTATAATAATCTAAGTGTGCCTTGTATAATAGAAGCCTTATCTATTTATATGTTTTTCATTTTAATTTATGCATCAATACTACATCCCAAGCACTGTCTAACCCACCTTTCCCCCCACACACACAGCCTTTTGGTTATTTTCCACTTTGCTTCTGCTATCCATGGCGTGGACAGAGGAAAGCGGATATGCCTCTTTGATTTTTGACTGAACTTTGCTGTCTTTGCACAGCTTATATGAACTGTACACTATTTTGTACACTTACTCTGTATGGATGTTTTATACCAAGGTTATTGTGAATGAATATAACAGCAGCTCAACAAGGCTTCTCCGACAGCTAAACTACAGACAAATGTAGCTGTTTAATTGTGTAACTTATAAAGAAATGCTTTTATTTTGTATTTTACCATGTACAGACTTTAAATATATAATAAAGTGAATGATTGTCAAATAAAAACAAAAAGTAGATTTCCAAATTTGATTATTCAGTAACACTTGCTTCTGGTTTACAAGTTGTTGTAGGTTGTCTGGAGCTAAACAGAAAAAGACAAGACAACTACCTTTCATCAACAGAATAGTGATTTGATAAGAATCTATCAGTTTCAAATTAAATAATCTTACAAGAACATCTATCTGCCTTTTAACTAGGAAGCAACTTGACCCAAGTATAGACTTTCTACAGTTAAAACGAGTACAGCTTCTCCCTCCTTGCATTTAAATGCAACTTAATTTCTGCTGATGTTGCCCTGTTATCCCCTCTAAAGCCTTTCTGACTCTCCTCCTTCCTTTCGGTTATTGCCCAGAGAGGTCAGAGTGTGGACACTTGGCCTGCTTTACCCTGCTCAGATGCTGCAGTTTGTAGATTAGGAGTGTGTCATAAGAATACTCTTCACCTTGCTAAGATACTACAGTTTGTAGACTGGGAGAATGTCATTAAATATTCTTAAGGGGTAGAGAAACAGAATGGAAAAGATAAACTTAAGGTAGCTCTTCAGAATCAAGTCCAGTCAAGGATCACTTGTACAACACAAAGCAAATCCATAACTACCTGCATTTGTTTTTAGATACAAATACACACTACAGAAACTACCATGCTTCCTGCCTTGCATACAGGTAGGGTTCTGCTAAAACAGGTATTTCATTACAAGTTTACTTATTTTCTGCTCCCTAGACTAACGCCCAGCACTCAACACACCAAACCAAATCAATGCAGCAGATGTAACCTGAACACAGCTATCCCTGTTTGCACCACTTTACTATGCTACTGCAGCTGTGAGGAAAGGCATGAAACAGAAGATTCCAGTTGGAAGGGACCTATAACAATCACCTAGTCCGAACGCCTTACCTCAACTCAAAGCATGTTATTAAAAACATGTAATTAAAAGGCATTGTCCAAAAACCTCCTAAACACAGCTAGGCACATGGCATCGAGCACCCCTCTGAAGACTGTTCCAAGTGTTTAGCTATTTTCCAGTTAAGTAACTGGACACACCTGGGCCAAGGCACACCACTTTAATCATCTTCTACCACTCCACACCTCACAGCAATTAGCAATTAAGGTCATACACCTGAAACAGGGCAGCGAATGGGTAAGGCACATAAAGCATTTATCCTACAAAACACAAAAGGTAGTGAAACACCACAAGGGTTTGTTGTTTGGTTTTTGGGGTTGTTTGTTGTTTTTAAAAGAGCTTCTCCAAAGAAGCAGCACATGTCCCAGGCATACCCAAAACGTTACACAAACGTGCATTGAACAGCAACTGGCACTAACTACCCGAGTGCTAATCCAAGGTCAAATAAAAGAGCTGCCACATGCATTATGAACACTGTATATGCTACAAAACGTATTATCCATCAGGCTTTTTCAGTGATAGAGCACCCCATGACAACTACTTAAAACCAAAATTTTAGTAGTTCAGAAACATAAGACCACAGCTAAGTAACCTGTAAGGACAAATTAAATTCAAAACACATATTTGTTTTACAGTTCACAAAGGCCACAGGTACCATCAGTCACAGTACAACACTAAAGAAAGGAACATGTTCAAAACAAGAGCAGGTATCACTTAGACATAATCTCTCCTAATTCAGCATTCAACAGAAGCTACTAATCATCTTACACCCTCTGCTCTTTACAGCTTGTCTGCACTTGGAATGTTACAAAAAATAATGATTTCAGACTCTTTTCAACATGAATACTATATTACATCTTACTCTACTAAACAAATAGCCTTACTAACAGAGAAATAACTTAAAATTGCCACTCAGCAGGGGAAAATCCTTGTGTGAAATGTGCCATATCAGTCTTACTCTTTGATTTCTCTTTGCAAGAACCATTTTCTACAGCAAAAAGAACATGTCACGATCACCAGCAACAACCATTTCTGATTCAGGGATACAGATATCGCCACATGAAATTAAAGAGATGTTTTCTTACTTACCAATAGCTTCCAGACTACCTCTGTGGCCTATAGAGAAAGAGTCCTCCTCCTCAAGGCTTCCATTTTATACTCTGAATGGTGAAGCCAGAGCTCACAGCTACCCTGTGACGGCTCATGCAGAACAGCTGTACCAGGAGAAGCCCTGCAGAAACAGCTACCCTTCCTGAGGCCTTACGTCAGAGGCATAAACTTATTCACTTACCTGGAGAGATCCCAGGTACTTTAGGAAGACCTGATGACAACTGGGTTTGTTCCCACTGTGGATGCCCACTGAGAGTTCAGCTTGGGTGTATTTCTAAGAGCAAAATGTTTCATAACTTGCAGTTAACTTGAAGAGTGTCAGAGGCCACCTCCCCCTATTCTGTGCAACTAGCTTGTCTTGGTGAGGCTAATACAAAACTGCTGGCTCTGTAAAAATTGTTATTTATGTATTTATTGTTTTAGACAGTTCTTTGTATTCTTTGGAAAAGGAGGAATGGCAAGAAAAAGCCTTTCCTGCCTTCATGGAGATGGAAAGAGAGCCATATTCACTAGTAGCATCCACAGTTTTTGAAACTATTCAAAAAAATAATCCTGTATAACATAACAACTGCTGCTTTATGGTATTAAAGGGCACTTTGTAAAGACCCAGTGGCCCAGAGTGGTCTTATATGTCTATTCTTCCTTTTCGCAGCCAGGATGGAAATATCTGACACTGGGGAAGGCGGAGAAGGGGATTTATCTTTAACTGTGAGCTCAGGGCAGGAAATTCTTGGCTATTTTACCCCCTAAGAAACCAGGTGGTTCAACATCTGTGCCTGCTGGAACTCTGATCTCCCCCAGCATGGGAAAGCAGCTTTTGGACGGGAGAAGGAGAAAACAAATCCCTTTCTCAGGGAGCCCATGCTGTTAACTGCTACATGGCAACCCCAGCCCCTCGATCCCCTCCTCAGCTCAAAGGCTGCTCAACCAGTGTCCCACACAACTGGGAGAGCTGGGAGTGTTTTCACCTGTGCCAAAACCAGGGCAGACAAGGCAGACGGCCTCCTGCACAGCCTCAGACCAGGAGCACTGTGCTAATATTGCCATATGCCCACGAAAAAACACTTACCCATAGGTGTGGAAATCATCTAACAAGCCCCAGATGTTAATACCATAAGCAGGAAAGCATGTTTATCCATTCAGTATGAAATAATCTTTCCTAACAGAAAGTCCTTGCCAGCCACGCTCCATTTTGGTACCACAGAGCTTGAGAATGCCACAGTTGAGCCAAAAAGAGAAGAAAAAAAAAATAAATTGCCTCTTTTGAAGAACACATGCCCTCCAGGGAAGTTTGAACATGACGATCATCTTAGAGATGAGGTTTGCATGGGGCCCCACGCATTGTCCATTGTCTTATGGAAAAGGGATCTGTGCAGCACACTACCAGCCTGAAGGCAAGGCTGTTCTTGCAGCATAGGCCACGGCACAGGCCTGGGCGTACTCCAGTTAATTGTGGTGTGGATCACCAACTCCTTGATGTACAGGCATCTTTGAGGCAGGATTACTACAAGGTCTTACTGGAAGCACAACCTCTTCCCAATTGCCTGTGGATCCCATCTCATGTTAAGGTCATTCAGACCTCCTAATTGCCCAACCCTGTATGGGTGAACTTCCTACAGGAGCAGGAGGTGGAATTACCCATGCCTAGCCAGAGCATGGTCTCCATCCCTTGTAACTAACTCAGTCTCCTTATGTCTCCAGCAACTGAGCAAATCAGAAGTATTTGTGTATCTGAGCAACCTGGTGTAGTTGAAGATGTCCCTGCTCATCGCAGAGGGGCTGGACTAGATCACCTTTAAAGGTCTCTCACAGTGTGTGGTTCTGTGATCAAGCAAGGAGAGAAGAACATGGATTTATCTGTGTGGCTAAGCAAACAGAGATGTTGATGGGGAAGGATGTGCCAACATTCAGCCCCTCTGTTACTTGCAGAAATGAGAGTTGTCCTCAGTTGCTGTGCTTGGTTCTAAC